GGACTAAGAGACTCGCGAACATACCCTTTATCAAGCAACTCATGAACTTGACGCTGAATCTCCTTGGTTTCCTCAGGGTTGGTTCGGTATGGCGCACGGTTCGGTAGGGAAGCACCTGGGATCAAGTCGATTTGATGCTCAATGCCGCGCACCGGTGGCAGCCCCGGTGGCACTTCCTTGGGAAACACATCAGAGTACTCCTGCAAAATGTTAGCAACAGTAGGGGGCAAAGAATGGTGCATATCGTGAAGTGAAATCAAAGCATCTTTGCATACCAAAGCATAGGCAACTGAAGGTGATGCAATCAACTCATTAATATCAGATTTAGTAGCAAGTAAGCATTTGGGTTTCAAATTGATTGTCTCAGGTTTCTTGCCATCAGATTGGGCTTTTTTATCACTCTCACATTTGGATTTGGCAGCCTTAGCAACATCATCACGCAAAATATCTTCAGGAGACATGGGATGCAACACAATTTTCTTATCATGGTACAGAAAAGAGTACTGGTTGGACCTACCATGATGCATAGAATCCCTATCAAATTGCCATGGTCTACCTAGCAGAATATTACATGCTTGCATGGGCACAACATCACATTCGACAACATCATGGTAATTTCCAATTGCAAAATTATGTGCACCAGTTTTGTTACCTTCGCCTTACCACTGTTGTTCAGCCATTGGATGTAGTATGGATGTGGGTGCGGTTTGGTGCTAAGTGCAAGCTTCTCCACCATCTCGCTGCTAGCCAAGTTGTTGCAGCTACCTCCATCAATGATCATGCGGCAACAACGCTCTTTGACGACACACTTTGTTTGGAACAACGTGTGTCGCTGATTTTGCTCCGCCTTCTCCATTTGTGCGCTAAGGACACGCTGCACAATGAGGCTCTCATAGTGATCCGCAAATGCAGCCCCAATGTGCTCTTCAGGTGGCTCATTATCTGCATGGTCAGCCGCAAGCAAAGCAAGTGTATCATCATCAAAATCACTAGCAGAGGAGTACTCACCATCGTTTTTGACTACCAAAACTCGCTTGCTAGGGCAGTCACGCTGCACATGCCCAAAGCCCTTGCAACGGTGGCACTGAACATCTCTCATTCGGCCTGTGGATGCCATTGAAGAAGCACTCGGTGCTGGCTGAGCAGCCTTTGTCGCTGACTTGTCACTAGATGGAGGAGGTGCTGCTCGACTAGTTGTGGGTGTGGAAGATGGAGAAGCAGTACGGCCGGCCGGAGGAGTGGTGCGTGTCTGCCATGATGAAGTTTTACTTGCAGAAAAATTAGCCTTGGCACTAGCACGTCGTCCCTGCACTTCCCTTTCAGCCTTACAAGCAAGATGAAACAATCGGGTCATATTAGTGTAATCTTTATAGTCTATGATGTCATAAATCTCGCGGTTTAACCTACCCAAAAATCTAGCCATGGCAGCGTCCTCAGTTTCCTCTAAATTACAACGAAGCAAGCCCATTTGTAACTCCTGATAATATTCCTCTACACTTTTCGCACCCTGTCTCAATTGTTGCAACCTATTCAGCAAGTCACGTGCATAGTAAGAAGGAACAAATCTAGCCCGCATGACCCGTTTCAAAGCATCCCAAGTTTGTGGCATGTTATTAGGATTTTTCTTGCCATGTTCTATCCACCAAACCGAAGCAAAATCGGTGAACTCACTCGTAGCAGCTCTAACTCTAGTGCTCTCAGGAAACTCATGGCATGCAAATTTTTGGTCAACAGCAATCTCCCAAGAGAGGTACGCATCAGGATCATATTTTCCATCAAAAGGAGGAATCTTAAATTTAATTTTAGAAAAAGCATCATCATTGTTGCGTACCTCGCGTCGGCGGCGACCACCCATACCTCGTCGATTGTTGTGTAGCCGTCGACGATCTCGAGCATCTCGATCATCTTGTTCAGTGTCAGCAATATATTCATCCTCCAAATTATCCTCGACGTACTCTCCGTCAATGTCATCGTCATTACCCCCACCATTGCCTCCAGCATTGAGAGCATCAAAATGCCGCACAAGAGCAGCAAGGCTAGTGTCAATGCGGGCGACCGCTGTCTCCAGCCCTGTAAGCTTAGTGATGGTGGAGATCTGCGTGGACTCCAATTGTCCAATCTTCTCATTTGTCACCTACAAATCTGTATCAAGTCCTTCCGTGTGCTGCTTCACTTGCCTTGTAAAGTATTGGATGATGCCTTTGGTGCGTGGGGAATGAGATGCACCCTCCTCATCTTTATCCTTTGGACCTGCCATGGTTTAGAAATGAAGGACAACAAAACAATGGAGGATGTAATGTAAGCCCTACACAACTATTGGGATGTAGCTTTTGCAAGACGCTCACTCTCACTTCACTCGCAGCTTGTCTCACAAGCTCTTACCAGTTCTTACCTTGCCCACAGGAGGGGGACAGCAACACCACAAGTTAGCAACCGTGGAACGAGGTGTATCGGTGCTGTAGCAACAAGACCTGTCAAGCTGTAGTCGGGTTTGTGGTGGAGCTGTTGGTGGGCTGAAAGCAATGCTCAAGAGAAAACTAGAAACCACGTTAGCCAAAGCAAATTGAATAATCGCTCAAGGGTATAGTGTACAGTGCTGGTCCTAGGCTAGTCGAAGTAGAGACGCGAGCCTAACCACAAAGGACGCCACAAAACACAAACCCAAACAGCAACGAAAACAAGAACCGGTGGTGGAAGGTGGTGACAAAGGGGGAATGGTGTGGTGTGCTCGCTGGATCCTCTTTTTTTTTTTTGCTTGCTCTCTCTAGTGCTGAGGAGAGAGGCACAACTTTTTTTTTATTTTTTTTATTATTTTTTTGATATTTTTTTCACAACTAGGAGCACACTAGAACCAACCACAGAAAATCTTATCTCAAACGGACAAAGTATGAAGCTTGTAGAATTTTTTCAAAGTTCTATGCGAATAGGTCCCGAAGCTTCTCGCCACAAAAACAGAATTTTGCAAGAGGAATTTGGCGATTTTAAATTTGCTGAACCCGGATGTAACTTTTTTTGTAGATGTCCGTGGATATATTATAAGCCTAATTTCGAGTCCGTATGAAAAAGATATGACTGTTTTAAGGAAGGTCACTCGAATCAGGGTTCTATTTCCTTTCTAGTGGCGGCAGGATACAAGGCAACTCACAAAAGCTATCGGCAACAGATCAAACACAAATAGAAAGTGATTTGGTGGGTGACTGCGACAGTGGTGACGGTGGTGATGACGGCAAAATTGATGAAGGTGGCGATGTGCGGTGGTGGCAAGAACTCGAAACTCTAATCGCCTAACACTAAGACCAGCAAATTAACACAACCGATGCAATCGAAAACTCAACAAGCCTTAACTAAGCAGTACTAGTAAAAAGGCACAATGGTCTATAGGATCACGGAAAAACTAATCTACTATTTTTTTTTGTTGGTCTTTTCTGGACTATAGGAAAAAAAATTAATGACGAAGGGAAGGGTAAATTCTCTCACCGATGAACCACGCTCTGATACCACCTGATGCAAACCCGCTAGGGTTTGTGGCCCGATCTTTCGATGAGAGGTAAGGGATAACTCGATTAGATGAAGTCGACGTTCACGGCCCGACTACAACTGTCCAAAGACGCTGCGCCTTAGCAACCGATACACTGTCTCCAATGGTCGCCACGAACTTGTGGTGCGCGTCAACCCGGCCACGAGGGCACTCGTCCTGCAAGCAATCGAAGAACAAGCAAGAACAAGTAGGACAAGCACTGAAATTGCTAGATAAAGATGAAAGTTTCACTATCAAACACAATATGGTGGGGTTCCGATTACAGGCAGACGGGCGGTTTAGCCAACACGCGCGCTGCGAGCCGGTAGCAAGAAGCTACCTCTATCATCAAAACCCGCCTGTTCTTAGCGGCGACTAGAGGTATAAAAAGAGGGGAAGAACGACCATAGGGTCGTGCTCCAACCCTAGGACGCGCCCCTAATGGGCCCAACATGGATACACAGCCCATTGGGCCAAAAGAGGTGACGCAGCACCATGGACAGAAAATAGTCGGGAGTAAAATGATAATTGCGGCCGCTCCAGAACAGATATGGACATGTAGCTGGATCCATTCGAAAGTAGACTTGATAAGCTTTCCATGAAGTACTTGCACGCCCAAATCGGAGTTCGCATGAAGTCGTGGCGGCCGTCAGAAGTTAGCGCTGCCCTGCAGTCCGAATCCACCCCGCGCGAATCCTCTTCCCTTTGGATCCTCTCCATCGTTCCTGAGTAAAACACGAGTGCACGCGTCTCCGAGGTATAAAGACGAGGAATATGAACTCAAGAAAGAACTCACCTGATAATTTAGTTGACGTGCACGAGCGCGGGTAATAGGACCATCATGCTGTATATGGGGGGACGTGGATGTATCGATGGTGTTGATGTCCTCATCAGGACTTTTAGAAAGTAAAAAATGAACCCGAACAATAATTGTGTTCGATTTTTAAAATCCCAATAACAATAAAGAGAAAAAACAGTGGACGGTCCATAGAGGAGTATAATGGCAGCGTTTGACGAGACTTCTAGAAATTATAAAAACGAAACCCAACGAGATAATAAACTGTAAAAACTATAAGATCCAATTTTTGAAGATACCAAGGAGAATGACTAATAGTGGTAGATCGAGCAAGCAAATAAAGAAGGATATGAAAAAGTAAGTGGTAGTAACCAGTATGACTTTTAAAAACTATTTAATTAGAAATACAGAGATGATAAGGTTTGTTCTTTCAAAGTCTTGAGACAACAAGATAGCTATTTAATAAATTTTAAGTAAAATCATACTGAAAATTATATGATTTTGTTTGGACGCTAGCCGCGCAATTGCGCGGGCCACCCAGCTAATTTATAAAATATAGCAAAAAAAATTACGGGTGTGGAGAAAAAAAGAAAGATTTTCCGGAAAAAAAAAGAAACAGCCGCATGTGCGCGCTCGCTAGAAAAAAAACGAAAAAAAAAAAGAAAAGAGAACGAAGCGATGGGGGTAAGTGGGCCGCGTGCGAGCATGGCCAGAAACACGCGCGAGTAAAGTTGACAGCACGGACGCGCTAATTAGCAATTTGGAAGATCCATGGCCTCGCTGCCCCTCCATCAACAGCTGAAGGAGAGCCTTAAACCCAAAAAGCCCACCAACCTCTGCGTCCCCGTCGCCGGCGACCACCACCATGCACGCCGCCGCCGCAGCCGCCACCGCGGGGATCATCTCGCCGCCTACACCTCGTCTCCTCCGCGCGAACACCAGGGCCACCTTCGTCTCCTTCCCGCGGCGATCGCCTCCCACGACCTCCCTCCTCTCGGCCTCGTCCGCCCTGGCCCCCGCCCCGCCGTCGGCCAACCCCAAGTACCACAACGCGAAGGTGGACGAGGGCGACGAGGAGGTGGACGGGGAGGAGCTGTTGCAGAGGTTCAGGCGGGAGGTGGCGCGCGCCGGCGTCATGGAGGAGATCAGGTGGCGGCGGAGGCACGAGGACGCCCGGGACAAGCGCAAGCGCAAGGCCCGCTCCGCCGGCCGGAGGTTTCGCCGGAGGTGAGGCCCTCGTCGATCCATCGGTCGATTGCTTCCATGATCCTGCCTAGATTGTGCCGATCAAAGATGATCCTTCCTTTTCCTTTTGCTCTTCCCCCTTTCGTTAATCTGCAGCCTTCTACTATCTTGGTGATCCATTTCATTTGCTTACCGTTTTAGGTGCTAATTAATCATGCAATTTCCGTCAGCTTCGTGAAGCCACCTTCGATCTGTTCTAATATTGGGCATGCTGCATCGGAAAACTACAAGCATACGTTGTTTGTGCTCCATTTTAGGCCGCTTTGATATTTCAGCGACCAATTCACTTATTACATGAAAGCTTCGTACCAATACTGCCTCTTCAGCGGCGAATTTTTATCTCACATTAGATCGCTATAATACATTGGGCTTATGTGAATATCATTAGCATTTCAGCTCTCTGATGGTACTGACTGCCATGTTCTTCTGAATGTGGTCATTGGACTGTACTGGTCATCTTGTAAATTCATTGTCATTAGCATTTTAGTTCTGATTGGAAGCAAATTGAAATTATGAGATAATCCTCTTTTCTTATCAAGAGAGATGAGCTCTTATGTTTTTGTTCCAATACCACTAGTAGTTCTTTTCTTTTTGATGATTGCATTGCTTCTGTCCTAGCTTTCAATACATTGATCCTATTCTGAGCACCATGAATTCATCATGGCCACGTTCATTACCATGTCGAGATAAGGAGCTGCCATATTCATCATCGATTGTACATTAGTTATGCTGGTGATGGATTGATTCAATGAAAAATTGTGAATGATGTAAAGTTGTGGATTTGGGAACATTTGATTTTTTGTGGATTGAATCTGATTGGAGGGATCGATCAGGGCCGATGGGAAGCTGTCGCTGGTTGAGGAGCGGCGTCAGCTGTGAATTTTTTTTAGCGCTAAAAAAGTGCAGTCGGACGGTGTAAACTTAGTCCCGTGTGAAAATCAATTTTAGTGCAACAATTGAGGTATACTACCTCTATATGACGTATTACGTCATCTAGAAAAAGAACAGAGGGGAGTATATAAAAGAGTAACACTAGCCCTTGGATCAATGTGCAATGGAGGGTGTAAACTATATACTTTTGGTTTGCCATAAAAAAATCCTGATGATAATCATAGCCAATTTATTCGGTTGTGTGTTTTCTCTTCGGTCTCCACACACCACACACATGCATGCACTGGGACAATCGACAACATTTTATATGGATTAAGAGCTCACGTACGTGAAATCAGCAACATTAAGGTGCTGGTGCATCTAGCGTGCTTGCGCACAGTGAGTGGTCATGGTGACCTTATTGGAAATCAAACAACTCATCATTCGAAGATATATATACTGGATCAAAGTAAACAGACAGACAAATAATAGAACAAATTAAATAAAACAATAAGCATACATATACGGTGGTTGATGTGGCCATGGCATGTTGTTCGGTTAGCTGGCTAGGGTGCCCTAGCTAGGGGCGCTTGAGAGAGAGGATTGCCTTGAAGATCCCCACAATCACGCGGCGAGGTGAAGGTGAGAAGCGGCAGCGGCGCGAGGAAGAAGACTGGAGGGTGAGGGGTGGCCACTCTGGCCATCTCCTTCTTGGATTCGGTGTGGGAGAAGGGAGTTGGAGGCGCAGGAGGCCGGCGGAGGCGGTCGGCGAGTAAGACGGTAGCCAGCGGAGGTGGTTGTGGCCAGCAAAGGTATTTGGGCGGCGAATTGAGGTGCAGGTGGCCAGTGGAGGCGAGCAAGGCGATGGCTGGCGAAGGTGCTATCGAGGTGGAGTTGGCTATTGAGGTGGCTGGAGAAGCTGTTGGCCGGCGGGGTTTTAGTGGTGATGGTTATGGCCGGTGGTATTGCCACTTGGAGAGGTCGTCGTTGGGTTGGTCGGTTGGTTGCTGACGTGGTTCGTTCGTTTGGAAAGCTGCAGGACACGGTGAACAACAGTGTTGTCGGTGGCTTGATCACCAACAAGTGTACCTCCAAGTTTATCTAGGGCTCCTCCCGTTTCCTAGAGCTCCTCCCCTCCTGTTGACCGTTCTGCTTTCAGATTCCGGTCGTGGGGAGTTCCATGGCGAGGGGCGGGGAGCTAGCTTTGGTTGGTAGATTTGCTTGGAGTTCGAGAGCCTCAACACTACCAGCGCTTTGTTTTTCTTGCGTCGGTGAGGTGCCTGGTTCGGTGGAGTTGGTGCATGAGACCTCTGCGACGCAACCTGTTGATGGTGTTTGGGGTGGAGTCGGAGCTGCATGCTTGGCCGGGTGTGGCAAGCTGGTCAACGATAACCCCCTTGCTCCTTCCTTTTGGTAGTTTCGTTGGGGTTACTATGCAGTTGGCTTCCTAGTGTCTTTGGGTAGGTGTGTTGGGGGAAATCGGAGCTGCTTGTCGGTGATAAGCTCGGCAACGATAACCCTCCCCTGCTTTCTATGGTAGCGCTGTGGTAGCCAGGGTTGTCGTATTTGGCAGGGAGAGCGAGCCGGGGCGAATGTCCTGCTCGATCTTGGGCTAGAGCCAATGATGGCGACGCCTGTGGGCGCCGTTTTCCTTCTTGAAGGCATCGTTTCTGTGCTCTACTCATTTCTTCGGGTGAAAACCTTGCTCCGATTTTCGGACGGACGTTGTTTGCGTTTCGACGCTATCTTCCTCCTTGGAGGCTTCGTCTTGAAGACCCTGCCCTACGCTTGTCTGTGGTCTGTTCATAGGAAGTCGGAGCTGCTCTTGGGAGCTTGGCAACGATGGCCTATGTTTTATCCTCTAGTTGTGCCGTCGCAAGTTCTTTTTTTTTTGTTCTCCGTGTGGGTTTTGCCCGGCTTTCCCCTTCAAACCGTGCTTATGTGAGGTTTCTGTGCCCGGTTTCCCTCAAAAATTGGGCCAAGTCTCTTCTTCTTAAATGAAAGCAGGCTCTTCCTGTCCTCTTCTGAGGTTTTTCCTCAAAAAAAAAAAGGACAAATTCATATAGATAGAAATAATTGTTGCAACGTACAGCTAGCAAGAAATAATTGTTGCAACGTACAGCTAGCAAGCTCTGATCTGCTACTCTTGGGATGTTTATCACTACTGCTGGTGTTGCTTGATAGACATGAGTGTTTTGAAGATGCCGACGAGAACGCCGATTATGGAGAACACCGTGACGATGGTCTTCAAGTTGTTGTAGATGAACTTGTGTATAGGGATCCATATCCACCTCTTACGCCTGTATGCTTCAAGATTGTCCAATAAATAGCAGTGCTGAAAAGGAATGGGAATTAGATCGACAAGGTTCTTGAAGAATACGAGTGTGTGCTGGTTGCTGAAATCACCATGTAGGATACGCTTCACTCGCAGCTCGTGCACGTCTTCCTCCCGGCTCATCAGCATCGCGAGGAGGGATACGTAAGAGCAGACAGTGTCTTCACCATCCATGCCAGTAGAGGCCATGCCAGTAGAGGCCGAGAAAATCTCGAGTGCCATCATATTGATGAGCCAGCATGCATTTTGGTCGTCCATGACGAGAGGTGCCATGAAGAGCTTGCCGAACAAGGCACCTTTGCTGATGCTCATGTCATTAAACCATGTTTTCTTGTTGGCTACCAGGTTGATGCCCATTTCTGCAAGCTCGATGGCGCTGCTAGTCTGTGATATTGAAGTAATTCCTTCAGGGGGTTCGAGGGCCATGCTTCCATTAGGCATGCTCAGCCCTGATTGGTAGTACCGAAGGAAGCCAAGGAGATGTGATGGTGTGTAGCTTTCATCCAAGACGAATGATCACTTTTCTAAATCTGTGTAGGCATCAAAACTGGTGCTTTCTTGAGAGATGAACTCTCCCACGGGAACAGACCTAAAGGTCATGAGGGCATCCAGCACCACCCATGGGAGCTGGTTCTCTAGCAGAAAGATGTCCCTCTCCATGCTAGCATCGTTGGAGTTGAACCAACTTTCTAATGATGGAGCAATGTCGTCAGTTGAGCAAATGATATACTGGAGAAAGAAGCAACCATCATGGAACATAATAGCCGCAAAGTCACCTTCGCCTATGCTTGCCACCGTGTCATCATCCACATAGCAGCTTCGGGCTTCGGCTACAACCAAGAGGATTCTCTGGTAGACCTCCTCAACCGAGTGGCCTGACTCCCCGCAGAAGTAGTAGGCGGCCGCACGCTTGACCTCCTCTGCCTCCTTGAGGTGGGGTGCGCCATGGTGGTAAGGACCGATGGCTACAGCTCTTGGGACGAAGTAGCGGTCATCTGTGCTAATTAAGCTTCGAAAAATTGAAGGGTACCTGTGGATCTTGGTTTTGATCTTGGAGAAGTTATTCTCCATCTTTTCGGCTGCTCTTTTCAGCTCCTCTTCGACCGGAATCGCTACGGCTTCTGCAGCGGCCGTGGCCATCGCCGTTGGCTGCTCGGCAGTTTCCAGTGGTTGGACCTAATCGCTGCTAGGAGTAGCTGAGAGTTCTTCCATTTGTGGATTTGCTGTCATGCTATGTATTCCTGCTACAGCCTATACTCAACTCAAAACATGCGAGCAATTGGTGGTGAAACAATGAAGTTTAAGGAGATGAAAGATCCCATCTCAACCAACAAATATAGAATAGGTTGGTAGATGATGCATGTGGCTAAATATAGAAGTACATTTGCCAATCAATTTGCTTTTGATTATATTAGAGAGTACATTAGCTAGAAGTAGTGTTCCAAATCTGGTGTCACAAGAACATGTAATGATACAAGTTGTTAGGAATCTAATTCGCCAAATTCAAACAATGAAGTTCACAGTACAAGTTGGTGGTGGAATTGAGATGAAGGAGCTAAAAAATGGGCAATTTTACCATCATTGAGAAGATGTCTAGAGGTACTATATTTTCTAGTGTAAAATTTAGTACCTCTAGGTACTAAGTACATCAAGGTACTAAAATTAGTAAAATTTAGTACCTCTAGGTACTAAGTACATCAAGGTACTAAAAATTTTAGTGTAAAATTTTGGTACCTCAAGGTACTTTTTTAAGGATTGTTAAATTCCTCAATTAACAATCAGATATATGATGTTTGTTACGGTCCAGCATATGGTATCTCCAGGTACTGGTACCTTCAGGTACCAAATGAAATCTAGCCGTTCAATTACCATGGGCATGATTGGAAACAACGGAGCGGCGATTTACTCGCCCTCACGCGCCGACGCTGCTATCTCCTAGCCCCCCTCACTCGCCAACTCCTCATGCGTCAGCAGCGTCGCAGTCTTTGAAACTCTGACCGTCGCCGCCGCCGCCCCCATCCCCGCCGCCACCGGCGCCAAGCGTAGAAACCGCCGCCACCACCTACCGCAAAAGCCCAAGAGTTCATCTACCTGGCGCTGCCTCCAGTTCTGCCTCATGTTCAAGATAGCGATGAAATATAACCAAAATCTTCAAAAGGCAGCCACCAGTTCTCCATTGAGGAAATAATGGTTGGGGTTTCGAACGCATAATCTGCAAGCCTAACCCTAGCTTGTAGCCAATAGACCATCCCGTAATGAAGTGACCTAATTACAAAGCCAATTTATTTATCTGAACGAATATTGTTGAAAGGGAATTTGTTGTTTTATCAAAG